ACAGCGCTGAGGACACCCGCTGCTTCCACGTGCCTGGCCCTTCCGGTTGGGTTGGCTGAGCAGAACCCCACCCTCTCCAGCTGCAGTTACCTCAGGCTCTTTCTCCCCAAGTCGCCCCTCAGCCCTTGCCACGTGAGTCAGGGTCTGCCAGACCTCCAGACCATTAAGAAGTGCCACACTGTGGTCTGGATTCTTGGGGGCTTGGGGCTGCTTTTGTTCATTATCAGTCTGCCTATTTCCCTCAGCTCAAGCAGCCCTCCTGGTCTGAAGCTCTCACCTTGCTCCTTGGAGGGGGGCCTTGGAGTGATCACCCATGAAAGGAACATGGCCCACAGCTGCACAAATGCTTGTGTGCACGCACACTGTGTGTACACCCCCAGCCATGCCTCTGAACACCTAATCCACGTGTGTGCACAAACATAGCTGCACCCTCCTCTTTGCACACGCTGGTGCATCACACACAAGAATACGCTTTTACAGAGACACACAGCACCCAGGCAGGGAACTTTCATTTGGGGCATCGGATTCCAGTTCCCTGTTACTCCAATGGACACTGTGGACCACACTGCTTTTGCCAGAGCAGTCTGCATTTCCACCCACACCGCTGGTACCTGGGACAGAATTCTGATTAACAAGCTCTAAGCCTCTCTGTGGGAGGAGCCCGCACCTCGAAACCCCTCTGATCTGCTTGTGGACAAAGGCCAAGAGGGGGCCGCTTGGGGCCCCTTTGGAACCCTGCTCCCCGGGTGGGCCGTGGGGCTCCAGAGAGGAAGAGGCCGTGCCAGACACACGCAGGATCCAAGAGGTGACCAGTGTCCCATTTTGGGGATGACAAGGACCCAGAGCCATTGCCCATCAGCTTTCAAAGGAGCAGGCATTGGGGGCGAGTTAGGCCCGAGGCACAGAAGTGGCAGTGATTTACCGGTTATTTATGGCACTGTGGAAGGGCAGGGAAGTAAGGTGAGTGAGGATGCACCTGGGACAGCAGGTGAAGGCGGCGACTGAAATGCCACTATGGTCAGTCACCGCCTTTCCCCGTCAGGCAGTGGTGGCTATTTCACTGAAATCCCATTTCCATGAGTTTATGACGGCCGTAAAGTGTGGCTCCAGGCCCGTGCAGGAAACAGACTTCTCTCCTTTTCACCCATAATTATTTTCTCTATGGCCTATTGGATTTTATTATCCCAGAGAGGAAGAGTCCTGGTGGGTGCTGGGCAGCGCTGAGGGCCTAGAAGCCACTAAGAAAACTGGACAGAAGGGTGCAGCCGGTGGTGGGGGGCACCTCTTCCCTGCACCCGTGCCATAGGGAAACTCAGGTGTGTCTTTTGTGGGGGGGGCGCTCCCCAGCACTGGGAGTCCTTGCCCTCCCCATAGGCCCTGTGTCTCCTCGGAGGGCTACGATGCTGCCGTACATCAGGAAGCTGAGCAAGGCCACCGTGGAGCGTGTCCCGAGAACTCTACCCCGGTAGACTGTGAAGACAGCTTTTTATGTGTCTGCTCACCAGGGCCACCAGATCCCATGCGTTTGGTCAAATGCCACTCCCGAGAGAGGGTGCTCAGGATAGAATGGACACTGGAGTTGGGGCACTGAGCAGGGCAGGTGAACGGGCCCACTCAACAGTTGTCACTTGCCAGCTTGACCCGGACCTGGGTCTTCTCCTGCCCGGGGACTGGAACCGAGACCCCCTTGTGCCCCCAGCTTGCTGATCCTTCAGCCTCTGCCATTGGCTCTGCTCCCTGGAGAACCTGGCCATGGCCTGGAGTTTGGGGTACTCAAACTATACCGTGAAGGTAGAGGAGTATTGCTGCAGACTGGGGTCACCCAGGGGTTGGGCTGTGCTGCTGTAGGTCACAGTGGAGACACAGCTACCAGATGCCAGTGGGGTGACCCTGCCCGCCCCCCAGCTCTGTGGCAGGGCTTCAGGCCGGAGCTTCAGTATGCGCGTCTGGGTCTCAGCTCCCCCACCTCTGTGCCCCGGTTCCCTGGGCCAAACTCCCTGTGTGCGGACTGAACACCTGGAGAGTCAGCTCGGGGGAGTGCGTCTGGTAGGAAGGCTGCGGTGGCCTTGTGCCTGGACAGGATGTGAGGGCCGGATGGAGAGGACAGGACAGGGTACGTGGGGGTGGGTTGTGACCTAACAAAGAGCAAGGAGGACAGACCGGAGGCCTTGGAACTTGACCCAGCAGGCAGTAGGAAGCGAGCCAGGCAGAGGCCCAGGGCGATCCCTGTGATGTCCCCCAAGGACCTCAAACTTGGGCACAACCAAATGAGCTCTTAGCGTCTCTACACTTTGACTCTTGCCAACCTGGCTTCTGAGTAAAACGCCTCAGACTTCCCCAAGCACAGGAGTAAGAAGAAGCCTCAGCCGGAGCTCACGGAGCACCAGGGCAGGTCCGCGCTGTGCTTGCCCCCGTCGTACTTCCCCACCCTGCCAGCCTTCTGGGGACAAGCCACGCTCCCCAGTCTCAGCATGGAGACAGGAAACCCAATGGACAAGCAAACGTCATGCGGTCCCCAGGGCTGACGGGGGGCATGAAGGACACCAAAGCAGCCCAGGGGGAAGAGAGTGATGGGGTGGACAGTGACCCTGGAGAGCCCCCTGGAGACCCTCCCAGAGTCCCTGCGAGGAGCCCTGCATCCTCCACCTCCAGCTCCGAGGCCCAGACCCCAGGTGCAGCCCATCCCAGGGAGGGGGCAGGGGTCTTTCTTGCTTTCCCCTTTCATATCTGACATCTTTCCTTTCACAAAGCCACACAATCCACGAGTGACAGGACCACGGTCAAGCTGCGCCAGGGCTTCTGGAGCCAACCCTGTGCCTTCTTTCCCATAAGATCGCGTGCTGAGCTCCCCGCAGAATCGTAAGCACAGAGGATCTTCAACCAGGATGAACGACTAGACCCAGAGTCCCTTCAGCACCAGATGCTTTCTGTTATTTCCAGATGCTTGTTTTTCGTAACTGGCGTCTTGATGCTCTGGGCAGGGTAGGACGGTTTATTCCCACCCAGCCCTGTCTGAATCTCCTCCCCGAATCTGGGTCCAAAGTGCACCGCAGAACCGTGCTGGTGGTGTGGGGCCTCCAGCCTGACCGCAGAGCCATCTGTGACCTCTGGAATTTGCACGTTTAAAGAACTCACTGCATTAGCACCTATTTTCTGGATGTGGCTTTCTCTCTTTTTCGCTCCTTTTTTTCTTCTTAGTTAAGTGGGTTGTTTAGGGCTTTCTGGATTGCAACTCACCCACAAACCTCCAGGGAGTCTTGTTAAAATACAGATTTCCATTCTGCCTGTTTGGAGGGGCAGCTTCTGTACTTAGAGCCTGGGAGAGGAAGTGGGGAGGGGGAGCTGGTGGTGGTGGGGTCTACAAGTGCAGCCCAGCCTTGGGGAGGCTCTGCTTCCTGGGTTTGGGGCTGAGCTGGGAGTGGATCTCATAGGGAAGAAAGGGAAGTGTCAGCTTTGGGGACAAGGGGCCCAGGGTGACTCCTCCTGCATCCGCCTCCAGGAGCCAGCAGGAAGGGCAGGCATGCATGGGGAGGACCTGGGGCCCAGCCTGCTGCCCTAGTCCCACCATGGGGACCCCAGGAGCTCCGAGAAGGAACCCTGCCTATCTCTGATTTCACAGCACAGCAAACACCCACATAGCATCTTCCCTCAGCCCAGCTCTGCAGCCCTGGGCTTCCTCAGGAGACCCGGTCAGCAACTCCAAAGTGGGTACCAGCAGGACTGAGGGGGCCTCTGGCCTAGCAGACACATGGGCTTGTGCTGGCAGAGTTTATTTGGAAATAATTTCAAACTTTACTTAAAACCATATACATGTCTACCAACTGTTAGCATTTTATCCTATGCCCCGTTCATTGTTTGCATTTTCTTTCTCTCCCACTGGCCATCTTCCCTTACACTCCTTTCCGGCCCTGAATAGGCTTTTCTGAGCCTTTGGAGGGAGTCCCCACACATCTCGCTCGACGGGAACAAGCGCATGCAGGTTGCTTCTTCCTGCCTGTTTCTCAGATCTGGGGCTCTGGGGCTCCCACCTCCAGGAACAAGAGGATCCCGGGAACCCTGGGTGAGGCCTTCACAAGACTCCAGAACTTCAGTCCCTTCCTGGCTGTGTTTATTTTGCGGCTCCCTTTATGTTTCCATGTGGGAAAAACCAGCTGTGGGCTCCTCTCCAAGGTCAGCTGGAGGACAGTGTGGAGGGGCCGCCCCAAGAGCAGAGAAGAGAGTGGGGCTGGGAACTTGCCCGTAGATGGTCCCTGCCCCACACCGGCACAGACCTGTCCCCTGGACTGGCCCAATTCCCGTGGCAGGCTTGGGGTAGATGTCTGATCCCCAAAGCCTGGCCTGTAGTCCACCTGGGGACCAAGCATTTGGCGAGCACAGAAACGTGTGACTCCAGCACCTAGTGGGGAGTAGGAGCCAGGGAAAGCCCGGAGGCTAAGTGCAGTGGACCTAGGCTGGAGGTCCTGGAGGAGACCAAGTCCAGGACACACAGCACTGAGGGGCAGGAGCAGGAAGGGGAGGAGGGGTGGGAGCAGGTGCCAGGACAGTCCTGTGGGCCAGAGCCCTAGGACTGCTCCTGGGCTCCCAGCTAGGGTCTGGACACCCCGGCGTCCCAGCTCAGCTCTGCGCTCCTCACAGCCTCTCTGAAGCTTCCCACCCGCACCTGCGCAGTGAGCCCTGAGAGTGCTCAGTCCACATGAGCCCAGGCCCACAGTGCCCTTTGACCTGCTGGGCGTGGGCTCCTGGAGATGCCCTCCCTGACCTCACACGTCGGGGATCTGCCTGAAGCACGCCCCACACTGTGGACAGGTCCTTCGCAGAGCTGCCCTCACCTCTAAATGCCCACCCCCTACACCCCCAGCCCCAGTGCACCCTGAGGTTGGGGAAGGTTGGGGGCTCTGGGCCCCCAGGTTTGCCGACATCTGTTAGGTGCTGAATAGCTACACAGTGCATAGGTGGAGGAGTGGATGAATGATTACAGTCCTGGCTCTTACCTTGCGGGTGGGAAGTCCATTCTGTAAATGTGGCGAGGAACTTTGAGAAAAAATACAGAGGAAATGAAACGTCGTGTGTCCCTTGGGATGTGAATCTTCCCACTTGTCGCAGCCCTCGGGAAACTCTCCAACCCCGCAGATGTCTCGAGCTCAGAGGCTTTCGGTGGAGATGCAGGGAAGGGCTGGATCCCTCACAGGACTCTGCCCGCCCCCAAAAAAGGAGGCCACAGACTGTGAGTGAACCCCAGAGCCAAAACTAGGCATATTTTGAGGTCACACCAGAGGCAACTGCGACAAGTCCCCCAGCCATGAGCTGCAGACACTGCACAGACAGCTTTGGATTCCAGTGCGTGTAGAAGGGGGGCAGAAGTGATGTTCTTTTGGGGTGCAGGGCGATGGCAGCTGATGTTGGGTTCCATTTCCATGCTCTGCAGGAGCTGCCTGCAAACATCTGATGACAAAGCAAATGAATAAACAAGTGGCTGAGGGGTGGCCCGGTTTGCTAGACCTCTGCTCCTGCAAGTTTCCTTTTTCACATTGGAAAAGAAGGGAAAGAGACTATGGCAAACACAGAGACCGCATTCATACCTCCAGAGCCAGTGTGGTGCTCCAAAGCAGCCTGGCTGGGTTTAAGTAAAACAGAAAGTTTTTGAAAAACAAAGTGCAGAGAGCTGGCTCTAGAAGAGGCAGGGCTTGCTCAAAGGCCCGGGTCAGGGCGGGCTCTGGAGCCTCTCTGCTTGACCTGGGGGACAGCAGCTCCTTGGAGAGGCAGACGCCCTCAGGCCACCTGAGGGAAGCAGCCGTCCTCCCAGAGCAGGGGCGCGGCTTGTGGCCCTGCAGGAACCCGGGGTCTCCACTCCAGGCTCCATTTTCTGGCAGTGCTCAACATGCACTTGGAAAAAAATCAAAAGAAAAGGCCCAGGAATGAAAGGGGTGGAAGGAATTATCCAGCAGATCAGACACTCCAGTTTAAGCCCAGGACCTTGCGGAGTCTTGCGTGAAATCTTACAAGCAACATAAACAGAGTGGCGGCCAAGCTCGCCACCAGAAATATTCAATAATAAAACACAGCTGTCGGTCCTGGCACTTCGCAAGCCGACTTTGTCACTCTTGCCATTAGAAATGCTGACAAAGACAGAAACTTCAAAATGAAAGCCAGTTTTCTTTTCCACCCCAAAGAGAGAGGTTTTTGTGAACTGCAGTCTAAATATTCGCTTAAATCTCGATCTATCCACAAAAACATAATTTAAAACAGAGCTTCTTCTTGGAAACTCATTTTGACCAAGTGCTTGCGAGAGGCCTGGGTTGATCCTGATGAGGGAGGCGGCTTGGATTTCGAATCTATGTTTTGATTCTTGGAGTGCCCTGGAGTCCCTCTCCCTGGATCTCCGTGAGGGTCAGAAAGCAGGAGACTTCTTAGCGGACTCCACTGTGAGATGCGATCATCACATTACTGGCGGCTGTGGCCAATCAGTGCTGTTGGGGCTTAATAATAATAAAATATCACAAAAGACAGACATCTGGAGCTGCAAGCCCATGCCCTGGCCTCTGCCTGGGGTCCCACCTGTGGCAGTGGGGATTTTGGTAATAAAAATAAAGCTTTCTGATAGTAGGAGGGAAGGAAGCCAAAGGACGTCAGTTCTGGGCCAGGCTGTGCTCTCGGGCTTTCCTGACTGGGAGCTCACACACAACCCAGCAGACCCAGGCCTCTGATGCATGGACAGTGGAGAAAGCCAAGTGGGAGATGAGCACCCAGTCAAGGGAAAATTGGAGAGCCGTCGGGAGGGAGCGGAGGCCGAGGCATTGACTGGGGGCCTTTGTGAGGGATGGTGAGGAGTTTTGCAGGCCAAGCAGACCGGCCACCGCATCTCAAAGGCCTCGAGAGCCTGGCTGGTGGTTCACAAGGTCTGAGAAGACACTGATATAAGAAGTCACACCCTGTTTCTGCAAGTGTGGCCTGCTGGGGCTGGGTTGTGCAGTGCCCAACCTGACCTTCCGGACTGGCCCAGCCTCCCTGCCGCTCCCTCCTCTTCCTCACCTTTATGGTGTCCACAGTGCCCATCTCAGGGGCAGCCTTGGGTATGGTGTTGGCAAGGAAGCTCTGGGGTGAGCTCAGGGGCTGGTCTTCCCCCTGCACTCGTGTCAACCAAGGGGAGGACACCGTGACTTTAAAAGAGCAATTTCCCTGGAAGAGAGGGGGAACCACTATCCCTTTTTTGCCTGATAATTCCGTATTTATTCCAGCTTCACCCTTAACTCCGAGGTGAGTGACACAGTAATAATGGAACTGTCAGGCTGCAGCTCGCCCAGCTGCACCCTGGTGCGATGTTATAACCAAATGCACAGACAGTGCCTTATCTTCCGGAGATAAAGGCGACATGGTACGGAAGAGACCCAGCCGTGACTCCCAGCTACTGGCTGCCCAGCTCCTGGCTTCTTCTTGTCTCCTCGGTGCTCGAACTTGCTCTGAGAAAAGTGGACTCTGTGGCTGGAGGTCTCTGGGCAGCGGCACAACAGCTTCCTCCTCCCATCAGAGTGTGACAGGCACTCAGAAAAGTGCAGAGACCTCAGTGGCACGAGGCGTACTTGCCCGCCAGCATCTGTCACCTTCTAGCTCTGTGAAGGGTGAGTGGGGTGCTCACTAGTGAGGGCCTCTCCCTGCTTCTCCATTTCAGTTAAGCCAATAATAGACCACTTAAAAGCAAAATGAGGTGCATATCTCTCTGTTAAAAATGCACATCTTTCTGTTACACGGGTGGGTTTTCCCAGGGACACGGCCAGAGCGGGAGATTCCCCAAGACTGCCTGAGCCATGCCTAGGATTTCAGTCTCTTCGTGCACTGCACCCTGGGATGGGGCAGGGAGTGGGCAATGGCTTTGTCTTTTCCTTCAGCCTTTTAAGTACATTTTGTGTCATGTTGAAGAAAAGGAATGAAGAGTCCAGGGCGGAGACGGTTCTCTTTCCTCCTAGGTCTGCTTCAGCTGTAACCATGGCTGCCTCCTCCCCACGGCCCTTCCCTCCCTGGATCCCCCAGAGAACCCGCCCCAGTAGAGACCCCCGCTTGCCTTTTGAGACCTTTGGGGGTGGCCGGGGAGGGCCAGTGACTCCTAACTCTGGGTTTGCAAAGGTACAGTGCACCGACTGTGTGCTGAACAATTGAAAAGATCTTCCACTCCTGGTCACCGCCCCTACCTACTGCTGTATCTCATCTCTCCAGCAGCTCTGGCTGGCATAGACCATCTCACCTGCACAGAGGGGAAACCGAGGCATGGAGGGCTGATGCAAGTTCCCTACAGACACAACAGTCCAGAGCGGGAGAGGCGAGTTTCAACCCTGTTGGTCCGGCTGCAGCTGTGCTCTCACTTAGGCACAGGGACACGGGACAGACTGGGCCTATGCTTCTAGGAGGGCCTGCTGCAGGCACAGAGCCCACCCAGAGCAGACAGGGGCAACACAGCCCACTGGAGGCGTGGGTCGCAGCCTTAGCCCTTCTGCCAGAGGGCCGCTCCTGGGAACACAGCTTCTCACAGGGCTCTGTTCTTCCATAAAAGGAAGCCATCTTTGCAGAGAGAGCTGCGTGTGGCTGGCGAGAGCCATCCAATCAGAAGTTGTAACCGAGTTGTTGTAATTCAAACTCGGATGTCGATTTCAATCCCTATCTCACGACTATTTTGAGCCCAGGAAAGCCCACAAGTGTGTCTATTCTGAGACAGCGACACAAAAAGATCCAGTTAGAAAAATGTTCGGAGAAACTTGGGAATTATAATTACTCCTACACCCGAGACCGTTCAGCCGCTCTCGTTTCACAAAGTGCTCTGCAGAAACGGCACTTGAGCATTCTGCCCCAGCCGCAGCTGGGGAGGGAGGGGACACGGTTCTTGCTTGATGGATGGTTCCCTCACCACGGAGGCTCAGGGTGGGACCGGACGCAGAGCTCGTGGTGAGCAGGTGTCACCGGGAAGGAGCAGAGGGGTCCACAGAGGGCCAGAAAGGAGCAAAGGAGCTTGGTAAACTGCTAAGCAAGGATGTGTAAAATACCAACTTTATCTTAAAATAACAGTCTCGGCTGCCATTTAGTGGCATTTATCATATGACCGGGACTGTGCTAAGCCTGGGACACATGTTAGCCCGTTTAATGGTCCCTTAAAATACATCCTATTAGAATCCTCCTTTCACAGTTTGAAAATTTAACACGGAGAGATTTGAGGACGTCCCTCGGGGAGCGAGGAACCCAGAACTTCAGCTCAGGAACCCGGCTCCGAGTCTGCCCCTCAGCTGCTAGGCAGCAGGTGCCTGAGTCTGTGAAGATGTTGCTGCTTGGAAAAGGGGTGTCTGCAGCCACGGGCAGGGAAGGAGCTACAGAGAGGCCATCCTGGATCCCGGGGTCTCAGTTCTAGTAACGAGTGACTTCCTGAGGGACACACAGGAGCAGAGAGCACCCTTTAGAGATGGAGGCAGGATGTGGGTAGCACAGCCACCGGCCAGGCCAGCCCCTTCTTCGCTGGGAAGAGGCAGAGGGGTCTTGCCCTGCAGCCTCCAGAGGGAGCTCGGCCCTGCCAACATCTTGATTCGCACTGTGGCCTCTGGAGCTTTGAGGAAATATGTTTTGCTGTTCTGAGTCACTGGATAAGAGGTCGTCTGTCCCATCCTACCTGAGCCCTCTGGGCAGCTGGGAGGCAGAGACTCTCCGATGAGCGCCAGCACTGTCCACAGGTTGTGGATCAGGGGAGGAAGTGAAGTGAGGCTCAGCTCGGCAGGTCCCTTCTCTCAGGCTACCCAGCCAGTGAATTTCAGAGAAAGGTCCGTGCCCATTCTGCGGGTGCAGAGGCTGAGCTTTTTCATTGTCATTTTTTAATCAAACTCTCAGCATGTGGCTTTTACAGTCTGTGCCACCCCTGCCCTCAAGATTCTGCAGTGACACGATGCCCCCATTGGACTTGCCCTCCAAACCCTCATCACACCTTCCCCAGGGCCTCTGTGCACATCTGGTAGGGTGGACGTCTGCCAGGTCACAGTGACTTGGGTGGTGCTAAGCAACCTGAACAGACTCAGTCTGTGTCCACTTGACCTGAGAGGACTTGATGAATATCCCCCCGGGGACTGTCTGGGAAATGAGAAAAGTCCATTGGACCCTGTGACCTGAGATCCCATCCAGACTCGTCCGGCTGCCAGGGTTGGAACTGGGCAGCAGGAAGGCCAGGCCTGGCCAGGACCACAGAGTACCGAGCAGAGCAGGGCAGCTTCATATCTGCCAGGATGTGAGCGTCTGTCCCCAAAGTGTGGCTGACATGGAAGCCACTTTGCTCACACACAGAGGAGAAGTCAGAGGGCAAGTGAACAGCCAGCCTCACTCGGGCCCGACCACACCATGTAGCAGGAGCTCAGTGGGAGGAAGCCGTGGAGGAGCCAAAGCCTCGACTTCCTGTTGGCTCTGAGGTGGGCCTGTGAGGGTGTGAGTCCTCCAAGGTTTCATTCTTGACCTTGTTTCTGGAAGTTTCTTTCAGTACAGTCTCAAAAGCGGTGAGAACGTTTTTGCCAGAAAGATCTGGACGAGTCATCTTGACTCACTGTGGGAAGGAGCTTCTGTTCTGAGCCTCTGGCTTCTCCTCACTGAAATGGGGATACAATTGTCAGGAGCAGGGAGCATTCCTTTGTGTGTTGAGCCTTTCCTTACCCTGGGAAAACACAGAGGTGATCTCCTTACAGTGAGGGAAAGTTGGTACTAGCTCATAGGTTTCAGCCCATGGTTTGTTGGCTGTTGTTTTGGGGCCTGTGACACCATAATACATCATGGTGGAGCATGTGACAGAGGAAGTTCCTCTTCTATGGCAACTGGGGGGGGGTGAGGAGGAACTGGGCCTCTTCGCAGCCATGCCTCCCATGACCTAACTTCCTTCCATTGGGCCCAACTCCAGAAATCCTTCCAGTAGCACCTGGGCTGAGGCTGGGACACAGTGTCAGCTGTATTACCCTGAGGGGGTGGGTTTCTGCCCCTTGAGGACCGCAGAGGGAGGCAAAGAGGGAGGCAGAAGGCCAAGCTGGGGCCAGCTGCTAGCAAGCTGACTGCTTCCTTTCCACTCTCAAGCTCTCCTGACTGCACCGTGCTGTCTCTGGCCATCTGCATTTTCCTTGCACAAACATATTTGGTCTCCACCATTACCACCTCCACTCTACTGATGACAGTGCCAAGCCAAGTGACCAAATCTCCTGCCTTCCCTGGGACTACAGGCAGGACGTTCAGGGTAAAAGCTGGGACAGTCCTGGGAAAACCAGGACAAGTTGGTCACACCATGCTGGAGGAACATACCCCAGTCATAAGTTGAGTCCTCAGTTGGTCCAGCAGGCGGCTCCACTAGTATCTTCGTGGGGACTTGAGGTGACTCAGGAAAACATGGACTTTTCCTACCCATCTTCACCTTCCTGCAAACCTGGGCTTGTCCAAGAGGCTCCCAGTCTTCCCAGAAGCCCCATTTCACAGCATATGCGAACCAATGCCTCCCAAGGTCAAATAAGTCCCCCGAGGCTTGCATCCTCACAGATCTATACCCGTACCTTTGGAACTGTTCAGCGGTATTTGTGGGAATGAGGAACACTGACACTGAGGTTTCATTTTGGACATAATCACGGTTGCAACCCATAGAGACATTTTGTAAAATTCCCAAACCCAAACCTACTCCCGACAAACAGTGACTGCAGCATCAGTCTGCATCAGACCTGTCTGGGGAAAATCACTCACCTGAAACTCAAGGCCCAACCAAGACGGGGAGGGGCTGCAAGAACAGGGGATGGGGACACGCAGGGACAGCGAGAGTCCATCCTGGGGATGTTCCTCCACGGATGGCACCTGGCAGCATTTGTAGAAGTTGAACCACAACCCTGAAAACTGAAACTCACCCACATCCGGCCCTGAGACCATGAGCATGACCTGCCCACACTGCATCCCAGCAAAATGCCGCTGCAAAGCCATCTCCGACGGAGCTAGAAGTGCGTGGGGAGTATATGGCCCGCGACTGCAGCACCAGGCTCCGAGCATGGGACAGTTCCTTGGTCACTGTCCTCAGAGAGGTCAGAGAGACCAAGGGGAGGAGAGAGTGGGTGCACCAGCCCGGTCCCCACAAGCAGCTACACACGGAACTGTATGTGGCAGCCCATCTGAGAGCCCACGGTACAGGGAACATCCAGCACATCCCACAAGGAGGAAGAGGGACTGTGGCTGCTCTGGCCACCTCTGAGCCTACGAGGTCAGGGTCTCTCGGAGCTTCCTGTCCCTGCGGCACCAGCAGAGGAAGCGTTTATCCTGTCACCCTGTGCCGTGTTAGCCAAGGGACATCTCGGGCCTCACCTCAGCCACACTTCCAGCTCATGCCCTCGGGCTGCCCTGTGGGCGATGAGCACAGGGGGCTGGAGAGTTGGCTGGTGGGCAATGGGGTCAAACAGTGGGCAGGACACCAGTGGGCAAGAATGGAGGGAAGGTGAGAGCCTGTGATACAGAGGGAGGTAAAAGTGGGGAAGGAAATGGGACCCCACAGGGAAGGAACATTGGCCACCCGCCAGGGCTCCTGTCTGTGACCGTGTGGGACAGACTGAGCCCTTGCCATGTCCCAGACCTCGGTGGGTCCACACCGCTCATCAGGCCCACTGCAGAATGAAAACACAGCCTTTCATTTCCAAATCACAAAGATCCTGTGGTGGCGCCGGTAGAACATGGATCCTTCAGAACACGCACGCCCCTGTGAGGCCAGCCCGAGCTGACAGAAGCAGGTGATGTCACTGGGAAGTGGGTGGATTCAGATTTGAATCCAGTTCCATCTGACCCCGAAGTCTATGCCTGGAACCATGTCTGGGTTCCAGTGTGAAGAAGATATATGGCCTCGATCCCAGCCATAGGACACAATCTCAGGGCTGGGTTTGACTCTCACACATAGCACTACATGCAGGGTTGGCCACAAGACCCAGAGGCTTCCCCTCCCTGATTCTCCAGCTACAGGGTTCTGTTCCCAGAGAAGACATGTGGCCAGGCTTAGTCTCTCAGGGATCTTCGCCGTTCTCATCTTCCTAGCTGTAGTAATTGGCTCATGGATGGGGCGTGTGATCCCAGCCCAGCCAGTGAAAGGTAGGCACAGAAGATGTCAAGAGAAATTTGGCCAAGTGATGTACACTCTCTGCTAGAGATGTCAGGCTGCAGGAATATAAACTGGGAGCTCCTGAGGGTGACTGCATGAGGACCACATGCTGGAGAATAGAACCAACATGGAGAAAAGCATAGTCAGACAGTAGAGCACCACTTCTTGTGAGACTGTTGGATCCCCTGGGTCCCAGCATGCCCGAGCCTGACTATGACAGCCCTCCGTAGCATGGGTGGGTACTGGCCAAAACCAGTGGGCGGTGGGCTCCTCACACTCTCAGCTGATAGCAAGGACCACAGAGAACAAACACCTGAAGGGAAAATGAGGGACCTTCTCAGGTGGTGGAGGAGGAGAGGGCGTGGGATGGGCCAGGGGTGAGCAGATATGGCTGGGGAATTAGAAATGATCAGCAGGGAGGAGGAGGGGTAGGAGACTCAGAAGTCCTGGAAGAGGAGGTGAGGAAGGAAACTGACATCAGTGGGGAAGGGAGACGTCAAAGAAATTGTTCGCTTTGTTCCCGACACCCGCTCTCCAGGCAGGTGCCTTCCCTGCTCAGAAGACACGTTTTGTTTAGATGTTTTTTCTTTCATCAGCAAACTGTCAAAATTGCAGATGCGTCGCATGAAGGAGAAGTCAGATTCTTCAATCCCTTCTGGATTTTTTTTTTTAATGATAAAATTTCCCGGCTGTGTTTCTCTGCCACATCCTTAAAGGGAAGTTTATTTTCTTCAGGGCAAATGTGTCAAGTTTGATTAACCTGCAATAAGACAGCGCTGTCAAGCGTCACCATGATGCAAATTAGGAAATCTCTGCAGGGCTCCTTTGGGTATATCTCCTTCCCTGGGGTCCTGTGGGTCATAATTGCTTTTCCTTCTCCTAAAGGAAGAGCATTGTGGGTTTTGGTATTTTGGGGCAGAGAAGCAGATAACCTGGGCTTTGTACAGAGATACAGAGATGCAGAGAGACCTCATCTGTGAAGAGGGAAGTGCTAGAGAATGCCCCGTGAGCTTCACACTGAGCTGTGACAGTCCACTGAAATGCCCCTACTCATCAGTGCCAGCGGTACGATTCCATACATGCGCCCTACAGCCCATCCCCCAGTCACGGCTCCCACTGGTCCCAGAAATGGGCTCTCCCTGCTTCCACCCCTGCAGCCCGGCTGGGCTCAGCCCCCGCCCCAGGTCTAGAGCAATCAAATCAGCATGAATGTGAGGGCTCAGCCTTTCTCAGCACCACCTCTTCCTGCAATCGCTGCCCGCCCCCAGGTCCTTCCTGCTCTCTGCCCCTTTCACACACAAGTGGCCTGAGGCTCAGCAGCCTTATCACTGCCTGGCCTGGGGTAGAGGTGAGTTCAGCTACTTCCTCCCTGATCAGCCACCTCTTCCAGTCAGTGTCGCACACACTGGGGCACCACATGTCTCAGCACAGAAAGCCCAAGCTTCAGAGGAGGGCCTGACCCAGTGCTTTCCGAATGGTGCCTTGACACACAGCTTGGAGCTGTTTTTGACTGAAGGGTGCTGGCACTGAGGGATGCTGGGACCGAGGGATGCTGGGACTGAGGGATCCACTGCCCAAGTGGATCATCTCCTCCTGCACATGAGATGGGTACACTGGGCAGCAGTGTAGAGATGGCTTTCCCTAGGTGAAGCCAGTGGCCAGGAGCTGCCTTATTTGGGCTCCCCAGAGCTGGAGACACAGTCTGGGGCCAGGTGGCTCATCAGGCGGTGATTCTAGCTTGAGCAAGCAGGGTGAGTGAGGTGTAAGGACAGGCGGGAGAGGGAAGGGAGAGGTTGATAATGTACATAAGGCGCAGCTTCCCTCCGAGTACTCAAGTAAATGTGCAGAGGCTCCCAGGGATTGTCCCACTGTGGCCGGGGAAGCAGATCTTTACCCATCTCCCACTACACAAGGCCAAACGCCACCCCCAGCCCTGCAGCCTGTCCCTTCCACTGCCCTCCTGTCACTTCTGTGCACAAGCAAGCCCCAAGGAGCAGAGGGTAGCTGAGGGGAGGGCCCAGCTGCAGGTAAGAGTAGGGGCAGAAAAGGGGCCCAGCCAGGGGCAGCTTCTGCCCCAGACTCGAAAGGAGGACGAAGAAATGGGCGGTGCTTCAGAGGGCTTGCTAGGTGCCCGGCTCGGCTCCATTCTAAGAAGTTTCCCCCTTGTTCATTCCTTTAACACTTGCAGTAAGCCGAAGGAAATTCACCATACAAGTAAGGAAACTGAGGCACTAAAGTTTATTCCCTCATCCAAAATGACTCTCTGGCAGGTAACGGACGGGGACAAGCTCTGGCCACATGGATTCTGAGCTCATAACCAGGACCTGTGCCAGGGTGAGGCAAGAAAGGAACCGGACGGGAAATTCAGGGTGACGCTGAGCTCAGGTCCTGTCTCAGCCTGGGCCCTGCTCTGCACAAACCACAGACGGGGACCGGCTTCCCGACACTGCCACCCGGGCCTCCTGCCAACCTGTGCTGAGCAGAGTGCCCGCCCAGCTCGGAGGCCTGCAGTCACCTGCCCTCGCATGCAGAAGGCCCGGATCACTGGGCACTCCTGCAGCAAAGAACCTTCATGCCTTGGCTGTGAGCTTGTCGGGGAGCTGTGAGTAA